GGGTGGGGCGGGAACAGCACTGAATGACAATATTTGTATTTGACATTTGGAAGAAATGTTATCAGACCTTTATAGAATAAAACATAGCATACCTAATAAATCCAGAGAAATTTATTTTTTCCACAGCTGTTTGAGGGATTGATGGAGTCTTTAATCAATCAGATCTGATTTCCATTGGCTGCAGTGAGTTTCTGTCATCATTACTCACACAAACATCACATTAATAACCGAAACAAACCCAACAGCCAGTGAGCAGCTGACAGACGGAAACAATCCTCTCAGTCTAAACCTCTGGCAACGAGTCAATGATTAATGAGTTCATTAGTCTTACCATGCTAATCATAGCAGAGTAATCTGAGATCTCAATCTGGCTCCTTTTAATTGTTGTTTATGCAACAATTTACAAGCTGAGCTGCTTTTCATAATGAATGAACTTTACACAGTTATTAAACTGAATTAACACTGTGCACTGGGCTTAATAATGACTCTTTACAGCTAAATCTGGATTTATCTCATATTTGATGAAGTTTGCACCGTTTATACTGTTAATGTTCCATGTTTAATATTGTGAAGCTGCTTTGAAACAACACAGGAGATTTGACATGTTTAATGCCAAATAATAGCAGGTCTGACAAAATCCTTAATGAATGCCCATCATCTGAATCATGTTCCTCTGAATCTCATAAGATCTAAACAAAGTGATTCTTCTGAACAGTGGGACTGATCCAGTCATTTCTAGTTTGATTCATTAGTTCTTCCTTTCCCAGATAGCACAGGTACGTCTGCAAGAGGTCTGTTAAACATCTCTTCATCTGGAAAGCATCTGCTGAGTACAAACATCTAGGCGTCTGTAAGATGTCAGTTTCACATGCATTCTAAATCATAAAGACATCTTCTAAACGTCTATTTGGCATCTGATAGGAAACATCCTCCTGTAGACGTACTGCAGATGAGCAAACACTCTAAAGATACGTCTAGCAGATGTAATGCAGACGTCTAATAGATGTACATGCGCTGTCAGGGTTATAATTGTTTGGCAAACTGAAGTAACAATAACTATACTGTGGTATTTCATTATTATGTATTAATCTGGATTATATGTGTCACCCCTTACAAAAATTAACCATGGTTTTATTATAGTAAAAGTGTACTATGGACCAAAAACCAAAAAAAACATGGTTACTAGAGTTAAACCATGGTAACCACAAATTAATCATAGTTTAACCATGGTATGCATGTTTTTTGACGTTTTGATTACCATTCGAATAACCACAGTTTCACTAGAAATACTATGGTTATTGTAGCAAACCCATGGTTAATTTTCGTGAGGGACTGATATGAATCATCTTACCGTAGTAGCGCTTCATCTCGTCTCTCGCGAGCATCACGGCGATCGCGAGCCCGATACCGGACGAGCAGCCGGTGACCAGCACCGCTTTCTGTCCCTCCGTTGCCATGGGTTCAGCGGAGTAACGGAGCGTCTCTTCAGCGCTCTCTCAGCGGATCAGCGCCCGGATTACTGATCGATCAGAGAGCACAGGAACGTCTGCAAGAGGTCTGTTAAAGATCTGCTGACTACAAACATCTCACAGACGTCTGTAAGATGTCAGTTTTGCATGCATTCTAAATCATAAGCATCTTAAAGACATCTTCTAAACGTCTATTTGGCATCTGATAGGAAACATCCTCCTGTAGACGTACTGCAGATGAGCAAACACTCTAAAGATGTAATGCAGACGTCAAAGTCTATCAGGGTTATAATGAAGTTTTATTATGATTATCAAAATCCAACCAATCGCCGTTTAGACGAGACGAAGCTTTAAAACAGTAAGGCAAACATTTCACTAGCATATATTATAATGTATTATAAACATAATTATAATGTTTTGTGAATGGAAGAGCACGAATGGGCGCAAGAAACACACGGTTCTCCCTCGCGCAAAAGCCACATCAGCTTTAATGCAGTAGCCTATGTGTTATATTTCACAAAACCTGACTTGCATGAAGTTAAAACATATTTGTGATATCATCACATTAGGTGTATAGGTGGATAAAAAACGCTGGTAATATGCTGGTTACTGAGACTGGACTGTTTATGGCACGATGCCGTATAATTATGTACATAATGATTTAATCTAAAATATTTTTAAATGGTTCTTTCACTTCTGAAGTAGACACACAATAACAAGCAGGTAAGGGAATCTATCTGTCTGGGGGATTATTTTAGTGAATGATGTTTCAAACTGGAGGATCCAGACTTCTCACTGCAGTAAACACTAATACTGACATACCTTTAGATACTAAACACAGAATGACATCAATATAGACGCAACACAAGAGCAGTTTAACCTCCGATGACGACTGCAAGGATCTGGACGCAGCTCACACGCATCAGTCTCTGTCACTGACGAGTCATAAAGCTGATTATTCCTCTGATGACATGTGACGTGTGTCTGCTGTAACCCCCGCGAGATCAGTGTCGTCACGCCGTTAAACCCTCAGCAGCACGCGCTTGTTCTTTCAGCCAGTCGTGATGCTTTAAATGGTTCCTTCATTAGTCTGCATCGGTCTTAATATAATAAATCAGCAGAAGTCTGTGAAACTAGGTTCCCTTTTACATTCACACTCTTAAAAATAAAGTTCCCATATGGTGTTTTCACAGTGATGCCGTAGAAGAGCCATTTCTGATTCCATGAAGAACCTTTCAGTGATCAGTTCTTAAAAGAATCATTAAATCTTACCGTGAAGAAGATTTTAATAATCTAAAGGATCTGTTTCCACTGTAAAAAAAAAAACCCTGTTGTGCAGTGGAATGGTTCCATGGCTGTAAGAGGTTCTTCATGGGATGATGCCAAAAACAAAACTTAATTCAACTAGCTTAGGCTAAGCAGTGATAGATGCCAGCTCAGCTCACACACACACACACACACACACACTCCAGAAGCCTAATGTTTAGACTAATAATCACAAACACATCTTTTTAGGCAAGTATATGGTTGTCATGTCATAAAATATTTTTAATAAGCCTACTACTGAATGTGTATTATGATTATATCAAATATTTTTTTTGCTTTGCAATTTTGTATATTTTCTTGTAATTGTAATTGCTTCTTGTGTTTGTAGATGCCAGTGATGAGTTCAGAGAAACCAGACCTGCTTTTTTAATTCACATTCATTTAGATTAGTTGTTATCAACATGTTTGTTGTCCACAACAATATTTGAAAGCCTCATGACTTTTTTTAAAAATGTGTTCATGACTTACTGGATAGCTATTAAAGAGAAGTATTAAAAAAAAATAAAATTCACAATAAAGATAAAATATATTAGAACTTGTCATAAATATAGATTGATAAAATGTGTTAAAATACCCATGGATTTATTGGATTTTATGAGTTTACATGACTTTTATAAGTCTAGAAATCACGCTATAATCTTAAAAGAAAAAAAGTGGCAAAATATCTTGATTTTGTACTTGTTTCAGCTTATTTTGACGCTTGATTTGTCTTCATCACTTTGAGTCATGCTGAGGTCCCCTGCTTCTGAACCGTAAGCCATAAAACCTCCCCCTCCCGCACTGAGCATGCGCGGTCCGCGCTGACGTCGCCGCAGTGCATCACGGGAGTCGCAGTCTTTCGCTGCTTCCTGTTTTCTGACTGCGGGAGTGAGTTCTGTTCAGCTTCGCTGTTTGGAATCGAGAAAAAACTTCATAACCAACAGCCTGTAAGTACTGAATTCCGCCTCACGTGTTCATTAAAGCGGTTTATAATCAGGTTAATGTGTAAAAGCTGATGTTAATGCTGCTTATAGCGTGTGTTTGAAACTAATGAATAACCAAGGGAATATCTATCCATCTAGATCCATCTGTCTAGTTGTTTTATATCTGCTCATGTTCCTGTGACCGTGAGCAGTGTGCTGAGGTGTGAAGATGTTCAGTGATGAATCCTCATGATCTGTCTGTCTGTAGATGTCTGTGTTCGAGTCGTCTGGCGCCTCCTGCAGGCCCATCACTGTAGTGGCCTGGGCGTCTAACAGCAGCGCCTGCCCTGGTCACTTCACCCTGGTAACCATGACAACCACCCACACCTGCGGTCACATGGTCAGATCAGCATCTTCCTCTGGAGTTCAGATTATGTCGTTAACCGTGTGTGTGTGTGTGTGTGTGTGTGTTTAGATCGGTCAGACTGAGGATGGAGCCTCCGCTAACTTCATCCGAGGATTTGCTATCAAGTCAGGATACTTCCTGTGTTACAGTAAGGTAAGACGCGAATTTAGGGTCGACTCACTCATGAGTGATTGTTCTGTCATCAATTACTCACCCTCATATCGTTCCAAACCTGCATGCCTTTCTTTCTTCAGTGAAACACTGAAGATAAGAGTAACACACAAAAACACGCTGACGCTTTAATGTCTGTCTCACCACACGTGTGACGTCTCCGCATGCTCTTCATTCCCGCCTGTCTCTTGCAGGATCTGTCCGGTGGGATGGTTGTGGCGGATGTGCAGGTGATTACGGATAAAGAGCCGATTCCTCATGGTTACTGCTACGTCCCAGAATTCCTGGAGCACAGTAAGAAAGTTAATTGACAGATGTGGGCCTTACAGCCTCCACAGATCTGTTTGTCTGTCTCTCCTGAAGTGTAATCACTGTGTGTGTGTGTTTGTACAGAGGCATCTGTCGGGAAGAAGAAGCGCATCTGTGTGCGGATCGTTCCCATGGCCAGTGTTACGACGGCTGTGCTAGATCTCAAACTGACAGCCAAGAATAAGACCATGGTGCAGCAGTACACCTGCCTGGGGTGAGAGACGCCTGCTCTAGAATCACCCGCTCTGTTCAACGGTTCTCATATCAGACACTATACTGTTCCAACGGATCTGGATCTCAGCCTCCACAGATCTGTTTGTCTGTCTCTCCTGAAGTGTAATCACTGTGTGTGTGTGTTTGTACAGAGGCATCTGTCGGGAAGAAGAAGCGCATCTGTGTGCGGATCGTTCCCATGGCCAGTGTTACGACGGCTGGGCTAGATCTCAAACTGACAGCCAAGAATAAGACCATGGTGCAGCAGTACACCTGCCTGGGGTGAGAGACGCCTGCTCTAGAATCACCCGCTCTATTCAACGGTTCTCATATCAGACACTATACTGTTCCAGAATCAACGGATCTCCTATCTGGCGCTGTCTATGCTGATTCTGGAACCAGGCACTTGGGCTTTTGAATCAGATGCTCTATTGAGCGATTCTGGAATCAGACTTTTTGTATTCTGGTTCTGGAATCTGATACTCTGTACACTGGTTCTGAAATCAGACGCTCTGGACACTGGTTCTAGAATTAGACACTCTATTCAACAGTTCTCCAATCTGACGCTCTTTATACTGTTCTGGAATCAGACGCTCTGGACACTGGTTCTAGAATCAGACACGAATCAGACACTCTGGACACTGGTCCTGGGATCAGGCACTCTGGGCTGCTGTTCTCTGTGTTTATTGTGTGTGTTTGTGTTTCAGGGACATAAATGGCTTCGTGGTGTGGTGTTTAAAGGGCCAGTTCTCCACTCCAGCGCCTCAGGCCAAGCCTCGCCGTGTCAGTCTGGACATGCGCAGTCTCTCGCTGGAAGGAGCCGGACCCCCGCAGCCTCTCAGACCCAGGTACCCCCACACAGCCGTCAATGTGGAGAACATCAGCGTTATGGGATTCACAATGACGCGAGATTCTCACTCCAGTGTCTGGGTGATTTGACTGCTAAAGTAGACAGAAGCAAATCAGCTGTTTGACACTGGAGTATCTGCACAGGCAGAAACATCTATTCAGAGTAAAGTATTCGATTAGGGTCACATTTTCTTGATCTCCATCACTGGATTCACAGCTTTAAAACATCTTTAGTGGTTCAGAGTTGGTTTTAAAGTGCAGTCATGTAGCCTAATGCTGTAGGTCACAAAACTGGAAGCTGTATGGTGTTTAGGGTGGTTGCTAGGGCATTGCTATGTGGTTTCTAGGCTGTTCTGACTGTCTGTTTCTACAGCAATCCTCCTGATGTCCCACCGAATGTCAGCGGTCGGCGCAGTAAGCTTGATACGAACAACCTGGTGGAGGGTGTGAATGACAGCGGTAACCATAGCAACATCCACAGTATCACAGGTACAGCAACAGACAAACCAATCACATCATCCTGTAATATAACAGAGACACACGCACATCATCATATACATCATGCATTTATCAATCATATCACGTGTGATGTGAGTAAAATCGTGTGGATGTGTCATGTGACTCACTCTCGTTTATGTTTGTTCTTAGGAATGGATGGAGTTCCTTTCTCTCTTCACCCGAAGTTTGAGTCTCAGTCAGACACAAAGGTCAGAGGTCACTGCATCACTCATTAACATGTGGATATATGTAAGAAATCACATGCATCCATCTGGTCAGTATGGCTCGGTAAAGCCTGACAGGGCTTTTGTTGACTAGCTTGAGAGATCTTTAAAAAAAACGATGCATGTACAAAAGCCTTTGACCACAGGATGCTGTCATGAACCCATCACTATCAAGTGTTCAATCACAGTGACCAATAACACACCTGCTGTTGTGTGTGACAGGTGTCTGCGAGCGCACTGAGTGACATCCGTATCAAATCAGTGCAGGACATTGAGAACGAGGTGAGGTGATCTGCATCTGTTATAATTACGATTATAGGAAATCATTGTCATTATAATATGCAGACACATCAGATTTTTTCTTATTGCTCTGGAGGACTTTTATTTTGAATCTGCCTTTCTTTGAGGTGATTATTTGTTCATTGCCGTGTAGTTCAGCAGATTTTAATGACAGATTGTTTCTCTGCAGTATAAATACACGTTTGCGGTGGAGGAACATGCAGCGAAGAGACTCTGTCCGTCAGTGAGCGGCTGAAATCATTCCTCTCGGCTCTGGACGATGAAGTCACACAAATCTTTCTGGTTTTATAATCACGTATGTTTAAGTTAGACCCAAACACACAGTGCTGGTTTTGCAGGGCTGGTTCTGGTTGGTCTCATTCTCTCTCTTTTCTTCTCTGGGTTGGTTGAACGTGAAGGACATTCTGCATCCAAACACATTATGTACGCGTGTTTCTACGAAACACTAACAGGCGAGACAAAGTGCCTTATATGTGCATTATATGCCATTTTATAAGGCCAAAATATTTTATGTATCTGTTCTGGGGTTTTGAACTGCAGTTTAGTATTTAAAAAGTGTGGTTACACTAATATTCTTTATTTATCTTTAAAAAAAAATGTAAGTTTCAGTGATGTGGGGACCAAAAAATAATGTGTTTTTCTTGTATTCTCTGAATTGCTCTTTTGTCTGTTTAAATATTCTTAAAACTGTTGGATAATGTCATACTCTACGGAGCTCTGCGAGTTACTCTTTGAAAACTGTTGTACTTGCTTTGCTAAAATCTGTCTTTTGTGGAATTGTAATAAAAATGATCAGATCTTGATTGACTTTATTTGCAGACTTACACAAAGGAAGTTACATTTTAACCAGAGCCATTTTCTGTAAAATTTCACATGTAGCCCTAAAGCGTTTTATAGGAATGAATTTTGTTTTACTTTTCTATATCTACATGAATGCCTTATTTCAGGATCATAAACAAAACCACAGACTGACTGTTAGTAAGTGCTGTAAACTCGACAGTTTTATCCCAGACACTCTTTTGTTTTGGAATAGTTTACGGAAATAGCGTTCTTCCGGCCGTCGATCATTGGGTCGCTCAAACGTCAATCATTTGGCCACACCCCTGTGTGGGCGGAGTCAGAGCGGCCTGATAGCGGCCCGAGCGCCTCGCACACAATCACAGACACACGACGCACCGCTGCAGGATGGATCGAGGATATTCTTCAGGTCAGCGTTTTAACGTTTACTTATTTTATGTAAGAGTCTTGTTTGTATGCTGGGGTCGTGTTTTATTCCGTTTTTAAGGCCTGTACGGTAGCGCAGGTCGTATTTCGCTCTGTGTGTACGTGCATGAAATGGCGCAGGTCAAAATAAGGCGTCGAAACGCTGTTTAAAACATTAAAACAGAGTTGATCAGTAAGTTAGGCCGCTTTAGTAGACGTATTTTAATTTGGTTTTTAATCAACAGCATATCAAACTAATAATCTCTATTCTTGGTTGGTCTGAGTGAGTTAGGCGAGCTGCGAGTGCTGCGATCAGTCGCTTCTCGGAGTCTAACATCGCGTCGCTTCACATCACATCTTCATAAAATGGCACTTAATGTAGGAGTGCGTGAAATGGAGGCGTTGTGTTGTTGTAAAATGGCTGCCGCGTCGATTCTGCGGCTCTATTGTTAGATTAATCGCCTCGAGTGACTGACCTGTAATGTTACTGCTGATTGTTTTGATATCAGTGTTAAAGCACAGCCTTTATAATGAATTAACTGTACTGACATCTCACATACCACATGCTATTGTAGTTTTGTGGCTATTAGTTCATCCCTCTTTCAGTAAAACAAACTTAATTATTTTTGACATCATGTCTGTAGGCTCAGATATAGATTTCTGTCCAATCAAATGTCGTTTTGAGTGTGAAAGCCCCGCCCTCTAAGACCACCTGACTCTGAGCAGCCAGTAATAAGCCAGCCTGAAATACAGTTTGAAAGATCTGTTTAAAACCTTTAGATAAAAGGGTTTTTTAAAACATTTTTAAAGTTTTTTTTTTCTTGAGTGTTATATTTGATGTGTCAGGTTTTATGGAGGGAAAAAAAACAGCGCAGTTTTATTCAGAGACTCAGACTGAGCGAAAATATGACTTGGATGCTGATATTTCTATGATGAGATTCTGCTGATGCTTGTAATTTAACTTAATGAGATCTTTTTAACAATGCAGCAGATACTGATCTAAATATCAGTCGTCGCTCTATATCTCCAATAATCTAACTAGAAATAGAAGACTCTATTTGAGACTCTAAAACATGATTGATGGAGAATCAAGTAAAGCTGAGCTGCTTCAGTCCAGTGTTCGTTCATCTGGAAATATTACTGCAGTTATTCTGACCTTTACTTGATCAAAATCAGTCCAGATTTGACACGAGAAGCAGCAGCTGAAGCTGGACGTTTGTACAATTACACTAAAAGAGCTTTGACTGGATAAAAACATCTATCAATCAGAGACAGAAGACTTGCAGTAGATGGCGTGTGAATCAGGTTTTGGTCATTTAGAGACCTTAGATACTCCTGGATCAAATATGACGTCCAGAACGCAGCTGTAATGTCTCTCTCTGACGTGTTCTCGACTGGTTTCAGGGTTCTCTGGCTGGGGAGGATCGGGTGGAGGAGGATCGTCCAGAGGTGAGTCTGTGGCCGTGTTCAGCTCCGTCATCGTTCACATGTTGGTCCAGCAGATAATCAGCTGCTCTGTTACGGCTCAGGCTCGGGCGGTTACGACCTGTACGGATATAAGGACTCCATGTCCAGCAGCGGCGGGTTCGGAGGCGGCGGGTACGGATCCAGCGATCGGATGAAGAGAGGACTCTCTGGGGGATCTCTGCTGTCCTCCAGCGGCTCCAACGCAGACGATGTCATCGCCAAGATCAACCAGCGGCTGGACATGCTGACGCAGCTGGAGGGAGGCATGAAGAGCGGCGCTCGCGGAGACAGGTGACGCAGCACGCACACCTGAAACCAGCTCAAACACTGCTCATCTGCTTCTGCAGGTCCTGTCTCTGTAACCAGACGGGAATGTATTAAAACACCAGGTGTTGTGCATAAGAGAGGAATTAATCGCTGTTTATATTTATGGCGTTAAATGCATGTCATGCCTCTTTTCGCACTCATTTCTTTGGGAGGAAGCAGAAAATATGGCAAAAGGAAATATTATTTATCTTTTTTTTTTTTGGACTGCATACATCATATACACATCCAGCCTTTTAAAAAAAGTCCAGATCAACATGAGTCGTCTGATATTTTATCACATCTAGCACTAGTTTGTTTGCTAATTGAGGGTAAAAACATTATAACTGGAAGATTCGTCAGCTCGTCTTAAAGTTTATGTCGGTCTGCTGATGTTATCTCTCTCTCCTCATTCGCAGCAGTAACTGCTTTAAGTTTATGGTTTTACTATCTCCGAGATCTCCTTAGTTTGTCCCTGCAGCACAAGTACACTTAAGATGTCGTCTTACAGACGGGTAGACGCCGTTATGCATTTTTTGGTGTATGCAAACAAGGCTGTGATGGATAGACAGTCAGTCTGTTGTGTGGGGGTTGTACTGTCACATTGTGTCACCTGAAATTGTTTTGAAAAGACATTTTTGAATGTTGCATCAGACTACTGTTCAAATGTTTCAAAATAAATTAATAGATTTATTAATCAAGGGCGGGTTAAATTGATCAGAAGTGACAGTAAAGACATTTATAATGTAACCAAAGTTCTTTTGAACAAAGAATCCTAGAAAATAAATTGCATCACAGTTAGCAGCAAATCAGCATATTAGACTGATTTCTGAAGATCATGTGACACTGAAGACTGGAGTAATGATGCTGAAAATACAGCTGCGCATCACAGAATTACATTACAGCTTAACACATATTCACACAGAAAACAGCTGTTTTACATTCTAATAATATTTAACTGTTTTTACAGTATCTTTGATCAAATAATACAGTCTCGGTCACGTACGTGTTTCACTCACAGCCTTGTTTCCATTTGGTAAATATGGTTTCTACCTGGACTAAGTTGCAGTTATTTGCTTTTGAGGGTTATGCTCCGTTCTTGTAGCTGGAACAACTAAATCAGTGGTGTTTGTGTTAGTACGTAGATTCAGTGAATGCTTCCTGACCATTTGAACACACACAAACACGCTCACACACTCCGTTTGGTCCTGATCCTCAGACGGCGGCCCCATCAGATCTGACTCTACGCTCACAGATAATGCTAACGCTGCCCTCACAGACCCCAGAAGGGCCCCGTATCTCACAGTTTCCACCTCAGTCCTGTGAAATATGTGCAGTGTTGTTGCCTTATATGTCCATCTGTGCAACTGTCATT